GTTCCAATCAGTTTCTACTTCAACGAATTCTTCAGGTTTTGAGAGCAACCACATGCTGGTCTTTCTGAAACTCTTCCAGCATTTTAAAACTCGGAGAGGATTCCTGAAATTCCATTTCTAGAAATTCTGAGTTCCTTACTTCTTGCTTCATTCCAGTTTCTATGGAAGCTTTTGCCATTATTTCAATCAGTGGTAATATTAGCTGTTTCCTTATAAGGAAACATTTGGCATCCATTGACCAATCAGCTTGTACTTTTATCAGTTGAAATTCATAAAATCTCTTAAAACAATTTTTCAGCAAAATAGGTTTCTCAAGTTCAGTAGCTGTTATTGCTCTTTCCAGTAGTGATGGGGGTGGGGGTATTTGGTTCAAACCTTTTATTTAAAGTAGTGTAGAATATTAATCTCTTGATTATATCTATTTTCTCTGAGTTACATGTGTTGTCCATTTTAGTTGTTGATGCTGTTTTTGAAAATTGAGTGATTTGGTTTCTGTTATTTGGTAGAAAGTTCTTTGTGATTGAATCTTGTGGACAAGTGTTATACAAAGAAATGTGGTTTTTGCCAAAATACACAGTCTTCACTCATCCAAATCCATTTCTAACCATTGATCTGAGAAAGCAGTTGTATACAGCTGACAGTTTAGATATTTCTGAACAGGATTAGTCGCCTGCGTGACATCCATATGAAAGTCTCGATCTAAATGTGTTTCATTTTATATATTTGAATTTGAGAAGCTTCTTCCCTTTAAGACAGATACTTTCCACCCTCCCCTTACCACTGACTTAAGCATTTCGTCTGACTGAGGCATCGATATGGGTAGGTTCTGCATTTATTGTTTGAGTGCTGTCAAAGTTAAATTTTAAGTCTAATTCTGATATGAGCACAGTCCATCTATTGGGGTTGAATAAGACAGATGTACTTCACACTGGCTGAAATAGATCTACCCCACCCCATATGAAGTAATTTGGGATTTTGTTGTGTAATTTATATGCTCTGTTATAATAAATACATTGAGCTCTTTTTGTGGATCAGTTTTAATATTTGATATCATTAGGATCCACTTCCATTATATACCAATGGATTTATTACCTGTTCTATATATATATATATATATATATATATATATATATGTGTGTGAGCAAAAAAAAATGCATACATTTTTCACACACACCACTGAAAAGAGAAAAAATAAAAATGTGGTAGAAAACTTTTGCATAGTCATTTGAGAGGGGAGAGAACCCTGCTTTTATTCAGAATTCCTACTACAAAATATGATAATTAGGTTTGAAAATGACTCCAACAGAGCAAATATTTCATCTGTAGAAAACAATGTAAAGCAACCACTTTTAAGCTGGAAATTATTAGAAATTTACAATTGTAAATTTCTAATACTTACAGTAATGGTAAAATATTTTTGCATGGTGCTATATTAGTTTATTGAACCAAATGTGTATATAAAATTTAGATAAGTAGGCATTGATCAGCCTACCCACGTTTTCACAGAATCTGACGTTTAATGTGGGGAGTCATACAAAAATTGCTCAAGACAAGCCATTCCCCTTTTAAGGAAGTCTCAGGTGCTGGCGAATGATCCCAGAAAATATTTAGGTAAGTATATTTCATCTTATGAATAAACTTTTTATTTACTCTATTCATTCCTGTTCTTTGTGTCTACTCAAAATTATCTTAAAAACCAATAAAGAAAATCAGTATCTTAAAGTATTTATGATAATCAAGACAGAATTGTGACTAAAATTATTCAATATGCTTACAATACTTTGCATGAATAGCTGTGATGGGAATAGGCTGTCTTATCACTGCTATTATCTGCCTAGCTTTTATAGGTTAGACAAAAATAAGTATTTATCTGTAATCAGTAAGATTGGATTTAAATAGAAAAGATCTTTCATTTTTATCTAACAAAAGAATTTTTATTTCATATGTTCAAGAAGTACTTCAGCACTCACACAATAAATGATTTTGTTGGTTTGAAACTTCCAAAATGGTGATTCTTAACAATTTTACATCCAAGATTTTTGGTGCTTGACGTAGTTTCAAATTTCTTCCTACCAGTGACATTTTCATGTCAAGCCTTTGAATGCTGATTCTCTACTTGAAAAATTAATCTTAGTCCCATTTTATTTGTTAGGCAAGATTTGGCTGAGTGAAAAACAATCATTGCAAACATAACTTTTTAAAAATCTTCTTTAAACCTAACCTTTGCAAATATCTGAGCCTATCCCTTCCACACCCAGCTATGGGTTAAATAGCAGGGTACTTTTAAAGTATTTCCAGACTTGGTTGATACATGACATTGTAAAACGTTGAACTTTTTTTCTGATTCAATTATATTTTCTACGCTTCTAATCAGTGGAAACAAATTAGCTCATTATTTTTTTTTAAGTATTCTCAAAAATGTTCCAAATTTGTGAATAAAAGGATTTTTGTACATTTCATTGGTAGATAGAGTTAATATTGTTCTTTCTTTGTACTTTTACATTCATAGAAATAGGTCAATAATTGTATTCTAGAAATGCAACAGATTTTAAGGTGCACCTTAATAAAAGGTAGAGTTGCTAATTAATTGATTACTGGATCTTACTAACAAGTTCCTTGCTAAAAATATTCTCTGTAATTGTTATTTAATTAGTTTTGGTTCCCACCAGTTACATGATTGCCAGGCCTGTTATAAGCATAAGTCTTGTATCAACCAGATTCAATGTTTAAAGTGGACATTTTGCTTTTGTAGCATTTAATCTTTTATGAACACTTTAATATACAAAATTGTCTTATAGTAGAATCAATTCAAATTTAGTTATGATGCCAAGGAAACTAAAGATTTTTTTCATTATTCCATGTGATTGATTTCTACATAATGTTATACGGATTACCTCCCCTGTTTTCTGCATTAATATTTATTGCTTTCTTTCCAATGAATTGTGTTGCTGGGAAGATAAAATAAGAGGAGTTGAAACAATAGTACATCTTTGTAATTTGGCAATAGAAAATGGTTTCTTTTTTTCAGTTCTGAAAATATCCTTATAGTTTTTTTCGATCTAAAATGTTTATATTTTCTTGAAAATATAATTTTACATAAGAACTCTTTACAAGAGTATTTTGCTTCAACCAATAGATTAACTGTGTTCAATATTATCTGCAAAAAAAAAAAAAAACCCAAAAAACATGATCCCTTCACATTGGACTCAGATTTTAGCAACAAAAGTCATACTACATTTACTTTAGCCACTGTCCAAATTCCTTAAGTTTTCAGAATAGAAAATTGAATTCTGCATGTATTGGTAGCTCAAAGTCTTAGAGCAAAAAGAAAACAGTGTCAGTTCAAATTTCACTTTTTAAGAGTAAACATTTTCTCATGAATTTGCACTCACAAAATTATTCAGTTAAATGTTAAGTATTTACTAAAGCAGAAACATAGAAATTGGGCATCCATTGAAGATTGGAATCATTACAAATATTAACAGCAGGAAAAACTAACTTAATATTTATCAATATTAAACTTAATATTTCTTATCACTGCTATTATCTGCTTAGCTATTATAGGTTAGACAAAAATAGATATTTATCTGTAATCAGTAAAATTGGCCATTTCAGTCACAAATGCACATAACTGTAACTTTTAAAACTGCATAACCAAAATATATATATATATATTTTATTTCTTTTTTATTGCCATCCTTACAAACATTTTAACTTGAAATGTTTTTGAGGTTCTCTCTGGATGCTGATCTAATAAAGTCTACTTAAATATATATACACAAATAGCTTTAGTTTCTTGGCAACATTTAAAGTAATTCCTGATCACTGACAGACTTTTGTTCCCAACCAACAGCATAAAAGAAAAACAAATTTTAAGTTATAAATTTACTAAATTCAGTGATGATTATCATTTAATTTCCACTTTAAAGGTCAGTTTTTATAATCCTTGTGTACTCTTGGTTGAAGGTTACATTTTTATTTTATGATCACTCCCCTGGAAAAGCTGAGGTGCAGGTTGCAGAAAATACCAAAATAAAAAAAAATATGCAAAACTGAGGACAACTTACCAGCATAAATAGATGTAAAAATCAATCTTCAAAATGAAACAAGAAAACTCATTAAAAGCAGCAAAATTATTTTTATTTTCAAATTAAACAATTTAATAAAAACATTTTTAACTTTAGTATCATAAACTGTATGCCTGGCAATACCGAATTTATATAAAGTTTTTCTACTTGTGGCAGTCAGAGATGAATTTTCGTTTTGAAAAAAAAAAAAAAAAAAAAACGATGTAGAATTATTTTATATCATTTATTGAACTATATTGTCGTCTTCTCGTCGTCTGGTTTGCATGTAAATATGAAGCTAAGTCTCTACACAGAGCTGACAAAGGCATCAAACAAGCCAAAGGCCCAAGGGAGATAATTAAGACATGCAAACTACGTATGCAAAGAAATAAAAGCCGGTCATTTTTTTTTTTTTTTTTTTTAAATAATCTTTTCCCGATTTTTTAAAAGAAAAATATAAGAATTTTTTTCTGAGATAAGCAGTTTCGACGGATGTTGTCATGGCGCACCACGAAAGAAACATTAATAGTCATTATAATCGTATGTGTGGTTCAAGTGTTTTTAAGTTTTTACTTTTGCATAATCTTGAATAATGTGCTTAGCTTACTCAAGTGATGCCTTTATCAGAGTAACACCTTTTGATTATGTCTTTTATTCAAGATTCAATAGAAGCTTGTATTAACTTGCACTTTAAAGTTGCAAAATAGTGGGCTTTTCTTAGTTTTTATATTATTTGATTAAAAAAAAAAGAGGAAAAGATTTCAAAGGGAGGTAACCGTTAAGTTTTGTTTTTAAACATTTTACGTTTAAAGATTTTTATTTGGAGAATTGTTTGCAAAAACTTAATATTTTTTTCCCTTATCAAATAAAAATAAAGTGGTTTTGATTAAAGTTTTGGTGCAGCGGGATTTTTATTTATTTTCTTTTAATAATTTATTTCTTACTCTGTGCATCATAATTTTTTTTCAATCTCCGTTTTAGCTCTCCTGGGAATTTCTCATAGCAACTTTTGCAGACTGGCTTCATATCAAACTCAAAGAACTTGGTCCTGTGGAAGAAAAAAAAAAAAAAAATTTTCTTAGATTTACCTTAGAACGTCTAAGAAAACTTCTAATGTTAACTGATTGGAAATATTAAAAGGTTTTGTATTGGTGAATTAAAATGGGATACAGTTAATGGTGCAGTCAGTAGCACAGTTGGACATGATCCCTAGAGTCTGACATACTCTGCATCTCTGTTCAGGAGTAGTTAGCTGGGGGAGAGGGGGGGTATCATGGCCCGATGTAATTTTAAAACATAGTTACTATTTTTAAATGGAGCCCACCTACAATGTTATGTACTGCCTTTATTAAACGCAGTCACCATTTATTGTACATTTTGGCTGTGATGCATGTGCCTGATACACATTTATGAGATTGTGTCATGATGGATATATTTTAGCTGTGTTAATTTGTTGGTATTCTGTTCTCATTCAATGACAATAATAAAATAATCTCTGACAAATTGTTAAATATTCTTTAAATATAAGACAGAGTTTGAAATTTTTCTTGTGTGGTGATCACGTATTGGTAAAGATTCAAAAGAGGCCCAAGCTGCATATGAACATGTCTGTTGATGTCAGTCACATCCGGGTTTCTCTGTTAGCAGCAGAACAGCTTCACATATCCAGATACTGACCTCTCTGCAACTTGTCCAGATCCTGATCTTTGTCAACTGTTTCATGTAAATAAAAGTGACGGGAAAACCAGCAGTCATCTTTTAGCGAGACTTATTTTGCTATCATCAGAGATTCAGTGTCTTGTAAGGACGTGACCGTGATACATTTTGTCCTGGCACTTGAGTACTGCCCACTGGCCTGTGGTTTTTGAGGCAGTTGTCTCACTCGGTAATCTTTCTTTTTTTTTTTTTATTTCTTCTTGTCTCTCTCCCTTCTCTGCCTGTTCCCACCTCAACTGTTTGTTAAGTGCTCCCCCCCCACCAGTCTTAACACATCCCTGTCTTATTTTTGTGCAGTTTTATTCTTATCAAACCTTACAGCTTTCTTTTCAAGTCACTCAGCTTTAAATCCATTGAACAAAAAATACTAAACTCCTACAGAATTCTGAGCATTTTTAAAGATTTCCTAACGAAAATTTCTTTTGTCATTTTTTTCAAAAGGAGCTTGGAGATGTAAAAGTTCCAAAAGAAGTTTGAGGAATGAAAAATGCACTCTCATTTGGAAAACTTTTGGATAAATTTCATCAACATCATTTCCCTACACACACTTATCTATATGTTGAAATCCATTAGACTGGTTGTATACCTTCCCTGGATTATGTCCCTTGTCTCATTCGCTACTCTTCATAATAATGATTTCAATTTGTATCTTTCACTTAATTAAATAAACAAAAGCAAATCAATTAAAAAAGATTCTTTGACAATTTCTTATTTTTAAGTTTTTCTTTACAAAGTAGATTTTATCTTAAGAAATGATTTGGTATTTTCTGAAGTTTTGAGATCGACTCTTTAGACAACTGTCTTCATTTTTGATTTTATGCCCAAAACAACAGAATGTTGAAGAATGCCAAAGATAGAAACTAAAACATGGTAAAAGTAATGGTGAAGTATTGAAAACATTTTCAAGTTTTAATTACAAGTATTACTTACTTTTGACTCATTTTTCTGTCACAGACTGAACAGGCAAAATGATTGACACACCAGGCTTTATTGAAGGCAGTAAAGACTGGTAAAGGAAAAAAAAAATATGTAAAAACATCAGATTGTACGCATCACATACATAAAAGAAGAGAAAAAGATTTTAAAAAAAGAAGTTATTTTAACATTTACATGTTTGTACACTGCTGCCTTTTAAGACTTGGGTTAGATGTTGGACCTTTTTCATCAGTATTTGAACTAAATTCAGGAAAAAAAATAAAAGGAAAAATCCCCCCCAAAAAAACTTACCATCTCCAGCCACAATGTTGTTACAAACGAAACAGATATTTCCAAACAGCTGAAAAAGAATTTAAAGAAATGAATACATACAAGAATGTATGTGGGGGGGTATGAATTAGAAAAAATAGATTGTGAAATATTAAATTTTGTAGGAAAGATGTCCACTTACCTGGTGATAATGATTTTCACAATAGGCCAGGTTTTTCTTCTCATAGTACCTTGTCCCCAGAAACGGTTTTTCACATTTCGCACAGACAAAATGCTGTCAAGAAAAACAAATAAGAATAAAAAAAATTATACATAAAAAAAAAAAATTAACCTAAATCACAAATAACAGGTTTTAATTTTTTTTTTATGTAGAGTAGATGCCACAGAATACGTTTCCCAAGCAAGTGAATTAAATTCTCATTGGGAACCCCATAAATGTAACCATAAAGCAAAGTTAGAAGACACACCGAAACATTCCTAAATGAAATTCTTGTGCTAATACCGAGTCCTGAGATTTATCGTCAAATATGGGAAATAATGACAACAGGCAAAATATTTCTAACAACCCAGCGATAGCTAAATTCTTTTTATATAAATTTGTAATTGAATGAATATTAGTGACTAGTACTGGGAGACAGAGTCTAAAATTTCTACCAGAAAAAAATTTGCAAAAATGACCATTTAATCATCAAAAGAATAAAATTTTATATCTATTCACTATTGTCATATTTATTGATAGTAATGCGTGCATAATTCAAATATTAGAAAAAATGTTTTTGTAAAAAAAATTAAAATCTCAATCCTAAAACAACAATTGTGAATCATTTTTGCTTTCAAAGTTTAATTGGAATATGTACCTTTTTTTGGGAGGTGCACGTAATACAAAAAACAGTCAAAATTCAGTAATTTAAATAGAGCAAACCACCTTGATAGTAAGTAATCTAGAAATGTCTGTCTAGATTTTCACAGAAAGTAAAAGGTTTTGATGCTCATTAGCATAAAAGTTTCAAGTAACTTATTTGATCATGTCAATGAGAAAAGTCAGTTTTTACAATTTTCAATTTACTGAATAACAAATTCATGAATGACTTGTGTGACTAATATGGTCAAAAAGATATTTGTAAACTAAGAACAAATTTAAGGAATGCAGACATGTACAAAGAATATTTAATAGAATATGAAAAGCACAAAGTAGGCATTTATAAGATGACACTTTTTAGAATGTGAAACTGAAGTTAAATGTGGCCCTGCAATATGACGTAAAAGGCTGGGTAATTCATTTTCATAAAACTCACATGAAAAGTTTTATAGTTCAAAATGACTAAATACAGTGTAAATCCAGAAGAAATGCAATCAACAAGTGATGAAACTAATAATTTATCAATTCCCAATAAGATCCAACAAGGCATTTATTGAACATAAATGTTTTCTCTTTTCTGATTGGTTAGAAAAAATGATTTTCTGGTTATGATTTCTGGCAAGCTGTGATTATGCTTTTGTATGGAATTTGTGTTTAAACTAAAATAATGTGAAGTTTATTAGGAGTCATTCTTAAAATGTGCCATTTAAGAAGCCCTTCATAAAATGGAAGTCCATTAAAATTCATCCTTACCTCTACATGCCAATATTTACCCAAAGCATTCACTACACGTTCTTCGATTGGTCGTCTGGGGGAAAGAAGAAAAAACATTGAACTTACATATAAGTGATTGATATGCAAAGATTTTGAACAAAAGCAGTTTCTTTTGTAACTTCCTTACAAACCTTAAAAAATTATTTTTGAGTGAATTATGAGGAGAAAATATTTTATATTTATTTTTCTACAATAAAAAATGTCAGTCAAATGCCATCTTCTTTAAATTCAATTTTTTTGATATTGAGTCGGGTTATGATTTTAGACATTCAACTTAGATTTTTGTGTTTTTTAAAAGAAAAGAAGCTTTCCTAATTGGAATCTAGAAAAAAAAGTGCCTGTGTGTGGGGGGGGGCTTACCTGCAGGCCCCACAAATCGGGATACCCATCTTATCAAAGCAACGTAGACAATACAGTTCTCCATTCTTTTCTCGGGCATCAGCTGTTAGTTCAGAACTAAGTTAAAAAATGAAAAAATACAATTAGAGATTCAGTTCAAATGATATCTTCTTAAGCTGAGAAAAAAAAAAGTATTTAAATGTCAAAATTTTATTTAAAACCGAAAGTTTGAGATAAATGTCTTCATTTATGGAGAAAATAAAGAAAATATAGACATTTATAAGTTTAACAAAAATAAAACAAAATTTAAAAGTATGTTATTTTCTTTTTGTTATTATAAATTTGTAGTAACTTTTTCAGCAATAAAGAATAAATGAAAGATCGTGAGAAGAGATCTTGAAGACACTAAAGCCCTACCATTGTTTGCAGATAAAATTTAATGTTTGCTTGCTAAGAAAACTGAACCTACCCGCATGTTTTACAATTGAAATGGTAAGGGTGGTAAGCCTCTTCCTTAAATTTGATGTGGCCTTCTTCAATTATGGCACTGGAAGAGAAACAAAAAAAAATAATATTCAAATTTTTACAGTAAGAATTTAATGAGAAAGATAAAACAATGGCAAAAAAGGAAAAAATACTTCCTCATTTCTATCAAGAAATATTGAAAACTAAGAGAAGGAAAAGCTAAAGAATGATTATATTTGATGGAATATGTAACAAAATGACAATAAAAATATATACAATAAAAGTAAGGGAAACTGATTTGATGCCTTTAGGCTATAAAATATGTGAAATGCTTTTCATCTAAAACCTATTACCAATTGCATCATTGTATTCAGTACATTCAATAGAAATAAAATGAAATACTAAAACATTTAATCTTAGAATTAGGAAGGAAGAGGTTTTAAATTTAGATTTAGGCAAATATGGCAAGAAAATAAACAGTTTCCAAGTAAAAAAAAACTGTTTGTCTCAAATATTTAAGCATTAAAGCAAATTTCTTTCTAAAGTCGGTTTCATTGTAATAAAAATTCAAAGAAAGAATATAGACATGAAAGTTGTATAACGTGATTACTTACTGACACTTATGGCAGACGTACTTGCCCAAGCCTCGAGCTTTTTCATGGGCATGACATTCTCGGCAAAGAGCCCTGGTGAGAGAAAATAAAATACATGGGAAAACAAAAGAAAGTAACAGTGACCAAAAAGATAAACTTTGACATGAAGCTAATTTTTCATGCTTTCTAAAAGAGTTCAAGGCAGACATTGTATGAAATTGTATTATAGCGTATGCTGTTTTAAATAGCAATGGACAACTCTGAAATTCAATAAATTGAATTTAACAATAAAATGAAAAACAATGTATTTTTAACTTGTAAGTTTTTCTCATAATTATTTCACTTCCAGTGAAAGTTTGTGACACTGTAACTGGTGTAGATTTTACAAGTACAATCTACAGTCAGTTGAAATATAATTAACCTTATGGTTAACCGTGAAAGGAAATTTTGGATAACCTCGATTTAATGAATACATTAAACTACCTAAAGGGAAAAGTTGAAAAGACATTTTTGATTACAAAATAACAGATTTCTTATTATTTGAAGACAAGGACCAAAATGGAAAATAAAACGTTAGATTTTTAACAAAACTCAGAAAATTGTCTGAAACTGTGATGTTACTGACTTTATGGTCAAAAAGACGTAAGGAATGAAAATAATTTTGATATTATTAGGAGTTTTTGTCTATATTTCCTGCAGACTGGTCTCAAAGCTTTTTGTGGTAAAAGTTAAGTTTCAGAAGGTATCTAATTTTTATAAAAAAGATCATTGTGTTCTGCAGGAGAAATTAATAAATTGTAGTCAATTTAAAATTTCATTAATGAAGAAAAGGATTTGGGAAATATTAATAAGAATATATATATATATTTTTTTTTTTACATGTTATATTTAATTGATAGTGTGTGTGTCCGTGCCCAGACAAGCTAAAAAACCCTTATTTGATTCAATTCTCTCTTATATTCACCTATGAGATGATAAAAGAGTAAACATAAAAAATTTGACAAAAGGCAGCCAACCAAATTTGGGATAGTATGGCAAATGATCAATTGAGAAATAAAGTTAATTTATCAAAAATTTCAAACTGTCTCTCTTTAGACAATTGGGTTCAGATTTTGTGTTGGAGTTAAAAGTAAGGGTCAAACTTGTTGAAACCCACTTAACCCGAGTTCCTTGTGAGATGAATTAAGAAGAAAAACAATGAAATTCTACATCAGAATTTCTGAACAGGCAAAGATAAAAAATGCAAAAGTTGTCAACTATTTTTGCTTGATGGCAAAACATTATCATTCCATGTCTACAATAATTTGTTTTATCTTTTGCCATGACATGTTCATCAGTTAACCACATAAAGTTAACCATCGACCATAACTTAAAGCATGGCACTTGGGGAAGGCTTAATACATCATTGAATAAATGCAATGTTTTTATCATTTTTAAACACATTTGTTTTATAATGAAAGATTGATTGCTGAAACCAAGATAAGACCATGTTGAAATTTTTATGTTTTCCATACAGTTTCATAATCTGAAATTATTGTTACTAAATTTTATTTTATTTCTACAAAATTTCAGCACGGAATAAAAGTGAATACTGAAAGCTGAAGCCCAACAGATGAATGGGGAGGGCTGTTGGAATGTTTCTAATGACATCATCATGGAATTTCTGGTAACAATCTTACTGGAGCTATCCTTTTTTACTTTGCAAAGTTTATACATTTGATTGAAGAGAATTATTTTATTCATCAAAAAAAAAAACAAAAAAACATTGGAAATTCTTTAGTGCATCTTTACAGTTTAGGAATCAAAAAAGAATTTAATCTGAAGGAGGGATTATCTTGAGCATTTGATTACCCCATTTATTTTTTGTTTTTTTAATTCCACTTTGTCTTTTGTTTGCTCAGTTCTTAGACGAAGAGCAAAATGCAGTATAACGTTTCATTCCGATAAATATATTTTCACCAAGAAGGTTTGGATTTTATTCTCAATGAACAACAGTTTGGCAACAAAAGCAAAGGCAGTAAAACAAGAGAAATGGAGCAAATTTTACACACATGGTAAGACAGAAGCCCAATGACTTTTGGAGTATTCAGACATTTAATAACTTAAAAACAAATTGACAGAGAGTCTGTTACCAAAGAAATTATCAAATTTAATTCCAAACTACTTTAAACTGATCAGAAAATTAATTTTTGGATTTTAATGTAAAGCAAAAAGGAAACTATTTCACATACCTTCCAGCATTTTTCATAAATCCAGTGTCTGCCAGGGGACCATTACAGAGTTGACAACGGAAGCAGTCAGGATGCCAACTATTGTTCAAGGCTTTGATTACTCGGCCAATGATGAACTCTCCTGAAAAAGGAAAACAAAGAGAGTCAATAACTTTTTTTGCTTTTTTCAATTATCACTAGGATCTTTATTTAATGAAGTATAAAATTTTGTGAAATTTATTATACTTATTTTGCATAGAAAGCAAGTCAGAGGAAGGAGAAAAAATTGTCATAGAATTTTGAGGATCGATAAGGATCACTGAAATTTTTCAAAATATTTGGCACAAACTTGATAAGACAATAAGAGATAAAATTTCATTTAAATTTTAACTCAAAACAATAAAATTAAAATTTGGGAGGTGGAGAGAGAGTATTTAATTGTAAGAAGGAATTTAATCTAATCAGGTTTTACCATGTAGTGGACACCCTGGAGAGGGTACGATATAACATGGCCAGAGCGCCCAAATAATTATGCATCACAAGAGGCCCACTAACATTTTTAAATTAAAAGACATGAAATCTGACAAGTCAACAAGGGGACAACAAACGATAAGCTAAAAATTGATGCTATATTTATTACATCGGATACAATGATAGTGATTTATTTAAAAGACACATGAGCAAACTAAGAATTAGGTAATGAAGGCAGAATTGTGTATATTGAAGAATACAGACTGGCAAGAAGATCTAGATAATACAACTAGATGCTAAAAGTAGAGTCCATGTAAGTCAAGTTGGCATGTAATTCCACAGAAAGTTCACATGTCCAGTGAAAATGTTGAAAAGCTGCTGGCTAAGTTCAATGATGAATCTTCTGTAGTATTTTAACCAAAGTGTATGGAGTAGGTTATTTGAAGTCTGGATGATATAGCCAAAGAGAAGAAAGTACAGTTTAAATGTCCAGTGCTGGCATTGCATAGTTGCTGATCAAGTCCAATGGCGAACTTTCCGTAGTATTTTAACCAAAGTGTACAGAGTAGGTTATTTGAGTTTGGACGATATGCATGCAGTAATTTCATAAACTAGGTGAGTTAGGTTGATAGGAAAGCCAGAAACATGGCATCGCCGGAAGTTCAGATCCATTAACACCGATAAACCAAATGAGTTAGATTGAGATAGTGATGCTGGAAGTAGGGACCAATGAGTAGCTGAAAGTTCGGGGCTGTTGTGAGTAGGTCTGTGTGCATAAATACCGATCAACCAAGTGAGATAAGGGCTGGAAGTAATGAAGGTCAGGAATGCTGGAAGTAAGATGCTAGAAGGTAAGAGTCCATGATAGCCAGAAGCAGTAGAGGCCAGGAATGCAAGAAGATAAGGGTCTGTCGTAGCTGGAAGTAATAAAGGCCAAGAGTGCTGGAAAGAAAGGATAGGAAAGCCCAACTAGTGTCCAGTTGGCAGACAAAAATAAATGGGAATGTAACAATACATAACCCGTCCAAGTGCCCTGGCCACAATGGCCAGGGGCTTGTGTTTCTCCCTCTTCCTCAGTGTCCTCTGTCTGCCCTAGGTTCGGCGAGAAGTTGCCAGGTTATATGGAAAAGGAGTGCAAACATTAACTTGTCTTGCAAAGTACTAATAATCCCAAGAAAAAATAAACTGAGATGTGCTACAAAATATAAAAAGTATAAAATGTTCACAAAGGGTCTTTCGACTTTGTAACACCAAAAGAACTAAAAAGTCATTAGGCTTATTATAGTAGCAAAGGGCTACAATAACCATATTTGATATTTTTCTAAAACGACTAACATTCATCTGAAGCAACATTACAATATTTTTGTCACTTTTTTGTAATGATAAAAATAAAGAGAAAGGAAAGAAGATAAATTGGAAAGCAAACAGTAAATAAGTCTGCTTTTCCATGCAACCCAATTAACAAATGACATCTCCCAACTTTACAAAGAGACACACAAGTGAAAGAAAGTCAGGCCATTGTATATAGATTAGCTCAATATGATTAAAAGTTTCATTTATTACACTTTCAACAGAAAAACGAGCACAAGTTGAAATAGAATGAATAGTGGATACATTCAAATGTTAAAGAGGTTTATTTAAAAAGAACAAAAAACATTGGAGGCATAGCTGTAGATACAAAGAGATAGAGGCAAGGCTCATGGTTTGGAAGATGATTAACGTTAGTGACTTGAATAAATGAAGCATTTTTTTTTTTTTTAAAGCGATTAGCTTTGGTCATAACTCTGAAATGTAATACTGTGTGAAATGGAATATAAAATGGCAGGTGTGCAAAATTTTTTTTAACCCAAGCCATTTCCCAGAATCTGACTCTGGACATCAGATTTTGGTTGGGGGTGAGAAGGACATCTTGATCTGATAAGAGCTTTTCAGTATCCCTCTTGTAAATATCTGTGGCAGAAAATATCTATAAATCAGAACGAAAAGAAAATATTTCTTGTCCCATTCCAGCATTTTTCATAAACAAATTAAAATATTGCTTCCTATGGAGGTAATTTTTTGAATGTAGCAGAAACTCCAATATCCAATGATATTTTCTTTTCACCTGATAGGAAATAATTAAGCAAGGCTATAAAAAAAGTGTGTGTGTGTGTGTGTATATACACACACACACAGACAGAGGGTTTGATGGATAAATTGTTATTTAAATTACACAAAAATGAAAATAACACTGACAACTCATTTTAACAGATACATTTACCAACATTACACAATAATATCTTGGAATACTTAAAAAAAAAAAAAAAAAAAAAAAAAAAAAAATCAACATTGCCTTCAAGCACAGCCTCCCTGAACAATTTCAGAGTCTCCGCTTCTGGAAGGTCTCCTTATGTAAGTTGGTGAATGTTGCCATAATCCTTGCCTTCAGTTCATCTTTGGTGTTACAAGGAGTTTTGTTTGTCTCTCACTCAATACATAATTATCAATGGGATTTGCAGTCTGGAGAGTTAGGTGGCCAAATATAAGGGGTAATGTGGCAAATGACTGGGTTCTTCTGCTTGTGTGGTATGAGGTAGAGTCCTGTTGCCAGACATAGGGTCTTCCAGCAGACAGCCTTTGGACCCAGGGAAGCAATACCTCTTCAAGGCACCAAATAAGAGTATCAACTAAAAATAATGTTGAAGTAATAAAATCTGTTTGATTAATAAATAAAATATCTACCACTTCTTGAGAAATATATTGGTGTGTGTATGTGTGAATAAATATAGTTTTAAGTATGCTATATTTATGGGATAAAGTGCTCAATATCATAGATAGAGCATATGTAAATATAAAAGTCAACACTCAGAAATGACAGACTGTTTCATGCATGAAGATCATTCCACTTGCCTGAGGAGACCTTACAGTTGAAACCCGGGTTGCAAGGTTTGTTGGCATTTTAGCCATATATATATATATATATATATATATATATATATGTGTGTGTGTGTGCACATTACTTAGTGGAAAGCGCTCAATATCAGTGATAGAGTTAACAGAATAAGTTGTATGGATATAAGTTTGTGACTCTGGGTTTCATGCTTTTGTAATCATCAGACAAACTAGTTTGTCTGTGAGGAAGCATAAGTTTTTCTGATGGCCCATGCAGCAGATCTGAAAAGCGTCAAGAACACCCATACCCACTTCTTGTTGAAATGAACATCACCACACATAAAAAGCTAAGTTCCAGACACCGAAATTGAATTACAACTGCATATGTATGTATTCCCGAATGCATGGATATGTATCTGCACCTAGTCTCAAATTGTTTATATGGATGTGTTGATGTGAACTAAAATGCTTACACCTGTATGTATGTGTCTATTCGTATGATTACACCAACCCAAACAAACCCAGAAGTATATTTTCCCTCCTGCCACCAAACATAGTCAAACAAGCATAAATAGATTCAATTTTAAAAAATAAACCCGTTTGATGATCGCAAAAGCATGAAACCCAGTGTCACAAACTCATACAACTTTATATATACCCATATACAACTTTATATATATGTATGTGTGTGTGCATATAAAACAATACAAACAGTAATAAGAAAACTGTGTCATCTAACATGGAACTACCTTTCATGTTGTGTAAATTCATTATCAAAAGACAAAATTCCTCTCTCAGTCAAAGAAATTAAAGACAAAATATGAAATGCGACTAGCAGTTCCACTATTATTTTACTTTTGTTTTGAATTCATTTTTACTAAACTATATAATTGAGAGTGAATAAAATAATTTTAAAATGTTTTACTTGTAAGCAATGAACAATTCATTAAGAAACTGGTTAGTTTTGTTAATATTTCAATGGTTATTTTTAATTGCTATTGTCAATACTGAAACATTATAGAAATAATCAAGTAGACTTTGAAGAACTAGAAAAGTCAATCCAAATCAATTTGTGGAAATTTGTAACAAAAACAGAACAAATTTAATCAAACATAAAATAGAACATTTGTAGTTTGTTCTTTTTTGCAACATGCTGAGACATGTTGAAATCTTCACAGTATTAAGTATTGTTGAAGTTATTGCTAACATTTTTTATAGAGATTTACAAACTCTACATTTTGTTAAATTCTGTAGAGCATTCAATGAGCATTCAATGAAATTTGATTTGTTCAGAAAATTGCTTTCTTAAAAAACCTGCTTCATAGTTTTTATCCATCCTAGTAAAACCAACTGTATTTTGCACCCACTTTACTTTTACTTTCTCCCCAAAATGTGGTTTTGATTGGTCAATGTATAGCTATTTTAGAAAGTGTAAGAGATGGATGGACTAACAGAAGTCACAAAATTTCATATATAAAAGAGATTTCATAGCTAATGGCAACTTGCTAAAAAGAAAAAAAAAAACGTTTGAATTTAATAATCCGGTCTGGAATGCTTACACTATTTGCATTCAGACTATTATCCTCATCTATGGGACAATAACCCAAGTAGATTAAGGGATTGGTTTATGAATACGGTGGCATAGTAATTGTGAGCTCAGTCCCTAAGCTGGGCAGGCAAAGGACGACTCCAAATTCTGGAGGTTCTTTTAATAAAAGAGAAGCAGGCAACATTAAATAAGGTAACTTCTCTATAGAGGACCATATATTTTAAGTGTGTTTTAAAAAAAAAAAAAAAAAA